TATAAGGTATTAGGCTAATCTTGCCAGACAGGAAAAAAATATTTTTATGTGAAATTCTTTCTGGCCCGCTACAGTACTTTTGGCAGTTCCTTCCTTATGGCAGTGCAGCTTGTTTGCTTATTCAAGATGATGCGGTTGCCATTAAAAAGTCAGCATTTGTGAAGAGTGACCATGTAGTAGTATCCAATATTATAGCTTTTCCACCTTGTAATTATAACAGGGCATATCTGTCTTTACTACAGAATTGTGGAACTGTCTCTGAGACATACTACCAGAATCTGATGAAACTTGTTGGGAGCCGTTTGAATTACTCTTGCTTCTAAGAAGTTTAAGTGAAGACAAGCTCTGACCTTGCCAGATTTAATGGATGAATTGGAAATGCAAGTGACCAACCTATCCCAATAGATGGCATCCATCACAATCCACTGCCTATGCTGGTTTTCTTATGTCCTCTGAAATGGGTGACATCCAAGAGACTATTTTGATAAGGACAATCTTTTCCATGTTTGATAGAAACTGAATACCTTTACAGAAACAGCAATGTGGCTTTGGAGTATATCCTGAACTAACTTTCAGGCAAAAAAAAGAAGAAAAAAGAAAACCCAGGAATTGCAGCCTCCTCCCTTAAGGAAGTAGTCTCATCTAGCTGACCTAACTAAAAACTTTTGATTTATTTTGCTTGCAGCAGATTGGAGGACTGTTCTTCAACTGCATCGAAATTCTTCCCTTGTTGTTCAATCTTCAGGCTCAGAGTTAAAGTGTTAGCATGCTTGGTGGTCATGGATTGTAGGTTTTATACTATATCCTAGGTAGCCTATGCTGTTAGTAATGGCATTTAAATTAGCCAGCTGTACAGGATCACCTACTCTGCCTTTATTCCTTACATCTGCTGCTTCATCATTTCAGTACACATTCTTAACAGGCTGATCAAAGAACAGCACACATACCATACAGGAAATGTTGAGATTAGAATAAACCTTAGCTTTTGTTAAGAACAAATGTCAGTAAGGCCATACAAGCATTTTGGTGTGTGGATACTAGATAATCACTCTGAATTTGTGAACAAAAATAAATTAAGTGCTTCATGTTGTAACATTTTTTGTTTGCAATTTGATTTAAACTTTCACATCTTTCTAAATACAGTATTTGTCAACTGCCTCTTGACTCCTATGGGTAGGAACTGCGAGACTGTGGTTTAAAAAGTTTTGCCTCACTTTTTTGAACCTGTGGAAATGTGCTGAGAGCATTCATTTTCTGGAGACAAGATTTAGTTGTGCAAGTTCTGTGCTAGTGTCTTAGCTGACTCACCGCTAGTGTTCACATATCACCTTACTTTATACCCAAACCCCTCAATACAGTAATTAGGAGATGGGCAAGGGAGGCTAATATTTGCTTGCTAGGTAACCCTATTAGAAACATGTTTATATTTCTGTGTGATAGTGGACCCAAAAAGACCTCCAAACAGATGCTTCTTGGGACCACAAAGAAGAGAGGAAAGAAATGTTGCATCCATTCTAATCTTTAAAGCTTTTGACACAGTAAGAGAGATCTGGGCTTTTTAATACTGTTAGGACCTTTCTAATAACTGTGCTTGCATTATCCCCCAAAGAAGGCAGGCTTTGAACAATCAAGTTTTTGGTATATACAGAACGGTTAGATGTGATATGGATACCCAACCTTCGACCAAACTGGCAGAAAACCAGAGCGGACCACATACCTTGCTACAGCTAAAGCTAACCTGTAATCCTGTACCATGTCATGAAGGAAATTGGAGGCTGAATCACAACAGGTAAGGATTTTTATGTCATTCTTAAATCTTATCATAACATTATAAAATTTTCATTGGTACTTTTAGATTCAATATTATTCAAAGTTCCTTTTTAGAGCCATATTTTTTTTAAAGCAAAGTTTCATTCAGCGAAGTATTGCCCTCTGCTGGTAATAACAAATCACTTAGCCCTGAAATGATAATAGGACCAGTTTGGGGAAAAGAGCCCTAAAACGTCAATTTAAAAAAAAAAAAAATTCTGTATACCATTCACACGCATGGGGCACATCAATATCGAGATTAATTTTAGTTTGTGGAATAAAACAGCAAGGTTCATATTTTTCTTTAAATATAAAAGTACATTAATACAGAATTGGAACAAAAAGGCTATGTTCTCTCCTTTAAAATACCTGGCATCTTTTACAGGACTCAGTAACAGACTTTGTTTTCAGCTCAATGAAAATGGCTTGAGGAGTGAAGAAATCACTTCACAAATTTCATTTACCCCTGATAAATAATAAATGCTCATTTTCCCTCTCAAATAATGCTTTTCTACGTATGTACCTGTAGTTAAGGACACTAACGAGAAATGGACTACTACCAGAAATAGCATGAGCTTGTTGCTCTTAAATAAAAAAACAGTAATAGATATTACCACAGTGAGACAATGATTGAGCAGAACCTGGTGGGAATGGCTATTAGGTCAAGAGTCTAAATAGCCAAATCTCTTTAAGTAGTCAAATACAGCTTGAAATTGTAGCTCTTACACAACAGGCCTATTTGATTTGCTGGCCTGACACCAGGTGCAGGAAGCTACAGATTCATCTCACATAAGCAAGCATTTCTCTTCCACTTCAGAGACACTCTTATAATAAGATATATAGTGCTCAGCACGTTGCCTCCTTTGCTTTTCAAGCTTTTCTCAATCTAATTTAAGAAAGATTTCTTCCTAGAAACTATTTGTTGCAACCGTCTTTGATATAGAAAAGAAAAAAAAATGAGGAAAAATGAAAACAGAGTCTTTTGGGAAAAGCGCTAGAGGCTTCTGAAAGGTTGTACTTGCTAAACTCTCACTGTTACTGCCTATAGTAGAGCTGAATGCAATTTCTTCACTTTGAACTAGCAAATGGCTACTTCAGAAGTCACTTGCTTTTAGGTACAAGAAAATTCCACTGTTAGAAACTATGAAAACTTTAAGACTTTAACATGAATTCTAAAGTTACCACATCTTAAGGAAGACGGACACCTATCCTGCATAAAAGACATCTTTTCACAACAAAAGCAAAACTGTATGAAAGAAATAGATTTTAGAAAACATGATCTCTGGGTGAGATTAGAAGGTACAATTAAACCTTGCTAAAGACTTTTTAAAAAGTGTGGGATCACACATATTCATTCTAGCCCTTAAGGCATCTTAAAGTTGGTCAATTTGATTTGACAATTTTTTTTGAGCTGTGTTAACCAGCTTGACTTGGCCTAACTTTTAATTGTTCAGGGGAGGTCAAATGCCCACTTCACAGGCATCCATATCTGGGCAGGCACAGCTCCCAGGGGAACTATCGTCCTCCTGGACACCAATGCCCTACTCCCCCTCCCCACTATCTCCTACAGCGTAGAGAGTAGAGCAGCAACTGATGAGCCGGGAAAAGGAGCTTCCAGGCTGCAGACGAAGGGGGAGCCGAGCAGGCCAAATGGTGGAGAGAGGAGAGGAGCTGTTGGGCTGCTAGGGTGGGCAGAGACCGCACACACAACACAACACCCACTCACTGCACAACATACTCCCACATGAGTGGCAGTGGGGTGATTACATGGGTTGCCAACATGCACCTCTGGCTGCTTCCCAGTGATGAGGGGGTGCAGAGGGGGGTGTTCCCTGCATGCTCCCAGGCTCAGTGTGCAGCTTTGCACAGGCAGGGTTGGTCGCTCCTTCACTGCTGCCCCCATGCCTTGGCTGTTGCATTCCAGGAGGCTTCCGGCACTGCAGGAGGGACGGCTCCCAGCCATCCCAAGGTGGAAGCTCTTTCCTCCCCCAAAGAGACAGTGGCATCTAGGGAGCCCGAAAGGTACGAATCTCTCCCCCTGCTTCCATCCCGAGCTAACCCTATCCCTGGAGCTCGTCCCTGCCCCTGAAGGACCCTCCCTGCTCTCAGAGCTTCCTCCCTACCTTCCCTCCCACCCCTTTCTTGGGGCTCTCCCTGCCCAGTGTTTCCCAGCTTGCTGCACACCTGTCACTGCCAGTGCTGTCCCAGGGAAGCAGGCAGGGAATGGGAACCTGCCTGCCCTTCCACCCAATGCTGGCTCCACTGCCACCTTCCAGGCTCCGCCCATCCCAGAGACAAGTGGTGGCATGTAGGTTCCCTTTCCCTTTCTGCTTCCCTGGAACAACTCTAGCAGCCCCTGGTGAGAAGGGGAGCTGCTGAGGGTGAGTGGGGAGGGAGGAGGGACAGGTTAGCAGGGATCTGGGGTGAGTGAGGCCCATCTGGGGCAGTGGGCCCAATTTGGTGCAGCAGGGACTGGCAGGCCCAATTTGAGCCAGCAGGAATCCAGCATGGGCACATGGGAACTCTATGTGGGATACAGCCCACTCCAAGGACCTACACTGCCCTTAAAAGCAGAGGAGCGGAAAAGGCACAGAGTCAGCTTGGCAGCTCCCCACCATGCCCCTGCTTGCCAGCCCTTTAATGGCAGATCAGATCACCACACCCTGGTATTAACCCTGAATGTACCACTGTTCACAGCGTGTGCTAACTTTAACACAGCTAACATTCCTTAAAGTTAGCATGTGTTAATTGTAACGTGTAATTATACCCTCTTTCTCTTTCTTTTAAAGTATTAAACAAGAGTCAGCTCCAAGACCCCAGACAGAATATTTTTTTACCAGGAAACAATGGTCTTCTTTGGCCACAGAAGACAGATCATATTTAAATTTCTCAGCAAAGCAGTGGCCAGGAAAGCAGATATTAAACCTAGGTTATATAAGCAAAGGATTATACTGTCTTTTAGTCCTTTATTCCTTTCTTAATCTCTTGGGTTTGGTGGCAGCCAATTCTATGATATTCAAATTATGTTAAAACAATTTTACTACAACAATTATAAAACGCTTTACTTTTAGGCAGAGACTTTCTAAACAGCTGCTATAAAAATGCATAAGAGGAAAATGTCTGACAGAATTGGAAGAAATAGTTTAGGTAAAACAGAAAAAACAAATCACAGTTAATAGCAAAATACTTACAGATTTTTAATATCTACAGCCCCACGGAAAGCCTTTCTGGGAATTGCCTGAATCTGGTTTTCACTAAGGTCACTAGAAAAAAGAAAGCAGAGAAGAAACTTGAAAGTTTGTCATACATGCATTTTTTACCTAGATAAAAGAACTTTTGTAAAGGAATACCTTGTCAGGAAAGATTTCAGAATTAATTTCAACCACTCTCAGTCTACTATTTACTGAAATACATTATAATGTATGACTTGTAATTAACTACAAAAAAGAAAATACATTTCTTACATTACTTGAATTGCCTAAGCAATAAAAAATTCCTCTAGAAAAGAATATATATTTCAAGTAATAGTTAAGAAAATTATATAGTGTTAATAGGGAGAGTCAAAGTCATTTTGCTTAATCTTAAACCCACTTACACAAGGCAAGTTTAAAAGTTTGATTCTAAATTATTATAGAGAAGACTGTAAGAAAAGAAGGTGAGCATGCATAGAACTAACCCACCACATCAGACTTGAGATCCATCTAGTCCTGATCTTTTCTAAGAGAGTGGCTAGTACCAGATGCTTCAATAGAAGGTGTAAATACCGTGAAAGGCAGACATGGAGTAATCTCAGGTTTCATTAGATTTCAACGTGATCCACAGGTTTTAACCCTGAAGCTTGAAATTAATATCCTTTCCAAAATTTGTTAGTATTATTATAAATGGTAACCCTTTTTGGAACCTTGCTAAGTCTTTAGTCTCAGCCACATCCTGTGGCAATGGGCTCTAGAATTCTAAAGTGAAAATAAAGCAGGCAGCTGACAGAATGAGAAGAAAGAGATTGGATAAGCAATGGAGATGGGGAAAGCAAACGTGAAACAAAAGGAAACATACAAGTATTAGTTGATTCTATAAAGACAAGTTAACTTTCACAGCCGTTCCTTTCCTGGTGTATATACTGTAACACAAGCTCAGACGCTCCCCGCTTCTTTTAATAAGGTTTTGAATAATTCCTATGACTTCTGCAAACCCCCAAAATAGTAAGACTAATGAAACCCCATACTATATGAGGTTTGTCTATCCACAGACAAGGTTTACACTTAAGTAACTTGCTTTGAAAAACCATTCCAAATTCATAGATAGCAACTCCTATTTATCCAATTCACTGTTGGTTTAGGGAAATGAGGAACTCATATTTTATTGCTATTTTACAAATATATTTGGAACATTTAACCTAATTCAATGCCCTGCAAAGTAAATCTAAAAACAGGCCTAGTTTAACTACTATTAAGAATGTGTGAAAAGACAGAGGACCTATGAACTGTAATTTTATTTTCAGAGCACTTAAGTATTCCTGAAAAGGGACTATGGCTGCACTGGTCTGATAGTAAATCCAATGGCAAGGAATGAAAAAGCAACCTTCAGCAGTTGTTACGGTAACTTAATTTAACAGCCTCCTCTAAAAATTCTATTATAGCCATAAACAGGGAATATCTATATTTACATTTCTCTTTAATTGATGTATGCATTTTATTTGACCAAAAAGACTTCTACACAAAAAAGCAAGTTAGCCATGGAAATTCCTATCATGACAGACTATTTATATTAGCACAGGTATACAGACAACCAGTAATAATAAACCACGGATACGTACACCAAGGAAGTTGGCTCATGGATCATTAGTGCAATCTCCAAATTTGCAGATGATACTAAATTATTCTGGATAGTCAAATCCCGATGTGACACAGGAGAACTGCAGAATGTAAGCTAAGTGAGTGGGCAAAAACTGACACACGAACTTGAAGGTGCACAAGCACAAGGTACTTCACATACGGGAAAATAACCTCAGTTACATACACAATGCTGGGTTCTGACCTAGTTATTAGGACTCAGGAGTCACTGCAGATGGTTTGCTGAAAACATCAGCTCAATGTACAGCAGTGACCAAAAACAGCTAATGAAATGTTGGGCACCATTAAAAAGGGAATTGAAAACAAAAGGTCATGCCACCATACAGAAATCCAAGGTATACCACCATCTTGAATAGTGTATGCAGTTCTGGCCTCTACATCTCAAAAAGGATGTAGTAGAATGAGAAGAGGTACAGAGAAGGTAAACCAAGGTGATCAGGGATATAGATCACTTGCCATACCAGGAGACACTAAAAAGGCTAGGGTTCTTTGGTGGTGGATGCCAGGGAGGGTAACGAACAGATGTTAGGTCACTCTAGACATACCCAGTTCAATGCCTTCCTTCTAAAGTATCCATACCTGCCACTGTCAGAGAGGGGAGACCGGGCTGGATGGACCACTGTTCTGACTCAGCATGGCATGTCTTCTGCTTTTATTTACCTGTCCCATATCTGAGGCCACAATACAGTTACAATATAGAAAAACTACTGATAAAACACATTCTTCTCCAGAAATATAACTCTGATAGTTCACATCAAAAGGCAATATACACCTTTGGAGCTATACTAACAATTCAAAGATGAACAAATGATACTATAGGAAGAGGAACTGATTGAACTAATTTTATGCAATTAGAATGAGAATAACCTATGATATGCTAGTAAATTCTTGCCAAAGGGTGCAATGAAACAATATTCAAGCGGTATGAAGTTAAATTTAACTGATGTGTAGCAGCTTCTATTTGCCCTATGGGCTTCTCTCAGCTAATCTGTTCAAATTTTCTTTAGTAATTCCTAGAGACAGGATATAATGTACATTGTTAGGCCTGAAGTTGAGAGTCTTAGGCTTTGATATGTTAAGACAGATACTTACATTAGTAAACCTTTGAGCTGTCAGTTAATCACAGTTAACTTACGTGATTAACACAAAAACAAATTAATGTTAATTTTTTTAAAATTGTGTTAATTGCACACATTGTTTTGACCAGCAGAGAGAACCAGCTCTGGACCAGCTGCAACCTGTGCGCACAGCCCTGACCCCAGGCCGCCCTGCGCCTGCTCCAGACTCACCCACTCATGCTGAGCAGCAGCAGCAGCAGCAGAGCAGAAGCTGCTACTCAGCATAAGGGAAAACCGGCCCATCTCCCTCACTGCTGCTGGGCCCTTCTTACTGCAGCCACACAGAGCCTGTGCCCAGGCTTCCCTATGACTCCTCTACTCTGCTGTCACCCCTGCCTCTGGGCCATCCAAGGAGCAGGAGGGCAGCCTGGGTATGGGCTCAGGGTGGCTGCAGCAAGATGGGCTTGGCAGCGGTAAGGGGCAGGAGCCACTTTTCCTCTGTGCTGAGCAGCAGGTTCTGCCTGGCCACTGCCGCTTCTCAACATGGGCAGGTGAATCTGGAGCTGACGTGGGGCTGGCTGGGGTCAGGGCTGGTCGCACAGGTTCCAGTTGGCCTGCTCCGGCCAGGGACAGTCTGGAGCAGGCGCAGAACAGGCTGGGGTCGGGGTTGGGGCTGGGCCTGTGCAGTGTTGGTGGTAGTTGGGAGGAGCCGCAGGGTGCACAGGCTCTGGGCTGTTGGGTTGGGGTGTGCTGACTGTTGTTTAACTGTGCAATTAAAATTGTGATTAATTGCAACTATACTTTTTAATCTCACAATTGTGATTATTTGTTTAATAGTTTGTCAGCCCTAAAATCTAGCTTTTTTCTTCTTTTGCTAGGAAAGTCAGCTTGAATGAATAATTTTTATTTTAGTAAATATTCAAATCAAGTTATTTAAACAGGAAACATTACAGCTCCTTTAAGATCAAGAGTACCAGTGGTACATGGTGTTATTTAATGTGCATAATTCCCTTTTGAAACAAACTGAGTCATTCCGATTTACCCATGAAAATCAAATATTTATTAAAAATATTCTAAAATATAACTTTATTTGTTTTCTTTTACCAAACCACCAAACAAATTAACACAATACTTGACTAACTGAATTTATGACTGAAATACTTTTTGATTGCACTGTTTCATAAGTTGGTGGGAACGGTAAGAAAACAAGGTGGAAAACGTTAAGGATCTTACAGCACAAAATATACGGTGTGTACAGTCTTATACATTATTATAACTTTATTGTTTTTACTTATTCATTTCTTTGTTACTACTTCAGAGTATACTTGTGGTGTAGTGTGCTTCAGACAAGTACCAATAAGACCTTGCTTAAACAACCTACTATGAAATCTTTACTGAGAAATGGGGCAGAACTGATGAGTTTTTATTTCTAAGGATTACTGGGTTTGCAGTTTAGTTGTAGTGGTAAGTAGTTTTACAGTAGAATCTTGCTAACCTTTGCATTTCAGATGAGTGTAATATGCTCGTCTGTCCTCATATTAAAAAAAAAACTGAAGAGATTTGTATATGTTATTGTTTCCTAGTGGTTCTAGAGATAAAGCCACTGTAGAACCTAATATTAATGAATCTGATATACTGCATCAGCTCTTAGCAAATGGAGCCAATGCTGCATTGCGGCTTTTTTATTACCCACCATGTATGGTTTCCAGTTGAATATCCTATTAACCTTATAAAGCAATGCTATTATTTTAATTATATAAATTGAAATAGAAACCTATAATATCTATATCATGCACTGTTAAGGTTGGATCAGTATTTTTGTGTGTGGCTAAAGCCATCATTCACTTTGAAGAAATAAGTCTTTGTAGATGGCAAACCTGCTTGTAAATTTAATTACCAGTAATTTTATTTTTCTCCATGGTTTAACCTCCCTTAGTGTCTGACCAGTGATATCATAAATCTGTACTGCCATCCTCTACTTTGTAAAATATTGAGTAATGGAGAATGAGTAATGTTTCCTGATTTTAAAGGAAAAAGGAGAAATACTAAGACAGACAGGAAGCTTTGAAAGCAATACTTATTACTTAATTCATTTATTTAGATATACAAAGACAAACAAAAAATCTATTCTATATCTTTTCTCCTTTGAAAATTATTTAAAAACAAAGTGACATATATAAACGATACTAAAGGTCTGCTTTATATCTTGCTGGTAAACAACGAATCAAACCTTGATGCCAACTATTCTGTATGAAAAATACTGAACAACAAATAACATCAAATCACATTCTAGATTAGATTATAACAGTAGTCCAGGAAATGGGTAAAATACAGACCTTCCCTTAAATCATTTGA